ACGTTAAAAAAAAAAAAAAAAAAAAAATAGATCAATTGTTTTATTGATGGTGGTCGAATATTATCTTTAAGTGATGTACTAGATGCTAAACCCATAATACTAATAATCTAACAGAACGGATGAATAAATCAATTGAGAATCGGCATGTAGATACCCAACTAATTAACCATTTTGTTAAAAGACTATGGAATTACTTTAATACAAGACAATATTATTAAAGAAATCTCTCCACAATTGGTATTTGAAGCTGGTTAAGTAACATACTGGAATTCATAAATCATAAAATATCAAACATTATAGTCTAAACAACCAACAGATATAAAAAGACAGTTAAATCAAGGTTGACTTTACGTTTTACTTTATTCGGTTAAACCTGCGATTGAAGGATCAAACACGTATTTCTATGTAAAAAAAGGAAACAATGGGTTTAGATCATCATATACTATGAAAAAAATAGTTATTGGCAGCGAATTATATTAGTTACTTCAACTAATACTAAACCAATTAACAAGTAAACATCCTGTTGCGCAGCAAGACGGTTACTATCTTGTTAATATTTTTATGGGAGAATGTACATATCTTGATTTTATATGAAATGGTTCCTTTCGAGATATATGTAAACATGTTTATGCAGCACGTTTATTTAATGATATTGAAAATAGTAAAACTACATTAAATATTATCAAGAATGATTTTGTGTAATATTTTCGTAATAAGAAGCATGCAATGCTAGCAGAACAAAAGAATCTCATTATTTACAGCAGTTCAAATGATGCCATATTTGGAGAGATTCTTAGAATTTTTTTAGAACAGGAAGTGATATTTTTTCTCTTATGAACGTGGAGTTACGGAAAAAGACCCATTTTGGTCTATTGAAATGCCTAAAAGTAAGACATCAAATGTTGGTTGTCCAAAGGTTCAAGGTGCAAAGCCACAAAAATCGACCGATTTTACAAACATAGTAAATTATGATAAAGAAGTATGTATCATATATTTTATATTATAAATCAATTTAATTTGATTGTTCTGATATTTATGCAACTTATTAGAATTATTATGATAATGACAATAATGATCATGATTCAATGCTACTTGATGATAAATTGGAATCATTAGAAGTATTGAAATCAAATAATACTTCAGCAGATAATCCAGAAGAACAAATAAGCCTATTAGCTCTGTCAATTCAAAAATGAAAAACTATTACAATTTGTAATCATAAATATAATATTTCTAAGAAAGTGAGTATGATATTAAGTAGTCATATTAAATATGTAGTATGCATATACTAATTATATTTTTGATAGTCTTTTCAACACAGGGACAGTATTAATACGGCATCATCTAACAAAACTATCATACAATCCGAACTCGAAAAGCTTTTTGCAGAGAAACAAACTAATTGGAAGAGGTGTGAATTTGTAAAAACTTGTCTTGAACAAGATATTTGTTTATATGAAAATATCGAACAAAATAAGAAAAAAACTATTTTACATGATTTGATGACAAAAAAACAAGAGAAAAGCAAATGTCTAAATTAGGGTTTATAATAGTGTTTCTATGAACTGAACTAAACTGAACTTTTGGCCAAGTTCAAGTTTAGTTCAAAATTAAACTGAACTTGAACTTGAACTTTTTTTAAAAAAAGTT